ATGGGCGGGGACAAGTCTATTAAATAAATAAATAAATAAATAAATAAATAAATAAATAAATCTGTAGAAGAGCAGAATGAAGGCGCAGAATTGAGGGTTGAGAATGATGTAATCATGGTATTAGAATACCTCTTTATTTTGAATTAGTTTAAATCCCATTTAGAACTGGAAGTGGTTAGCAGTAACACTGCATTTCTCTTCAGATTTAAAAATGTATATTTACTTCTGGGTAATTTGTTCAAAAAACAAAGTTTTCAGAAGCCTCTAATGAGCAAAATATATATTCTTGGCTAATATATCCTCTCCCTAAAAAAAGAAAAGTAAAGTTTCAGGACTGAGGCATTTAGAAAAGAGAAGCAGGAGAGATGGTGGCATAAAAAACACTTTCTCACATGGATTTTTGCCTTCACAAGTTTCCAAATTTGAGTTCAGGAAGGAAGGAGAGAAAGAGAGAGAAGCAGATTGATGGAAAACATGTATGTGTGTGTGTGTGAACACAATCATGTGTACATGCACTACTTGGCACTATTAGGTATTTAAAATGTTCTGACAGTTCACTGTCACATTTACTTTCAGTTGAACTGTGCTTTTCTACCACTTTTCACTCTAGTATTGCTGTAGTTTTCTTGTAGAACACCTTAAATAACCATTTCTTCCCATGAAAATCGCGGTATTCCCAGGTGAACATAGCAAATGACCTTTTGATGTCATTATCATAGTATTTAATAATTTAATTTTAAATATAACCCCACACTTAATGTAATGTTGATTTTAGTTGTTACATTTGCATCCCATGAGGCAATAAAAAAGCATACATGGGGTGACTCTAATTTTATCCACAGAAAAACTTGAGGTCCCTCAGGTGTTTGGACTATCATCTCCTTACTCTATTTTATTGTACATTAACTGTGTAATAACGGCTAAAGAACATTTAGTTTATGTGTATTTCTGTGTGTGTGTGCACGTGCATGTACATGCATGCATAAATATATACATATAATCAGTGTGTGTAAAGTGGAATTAACATTAAGACCAAACTTAGATGCTGCTAGATCTGGAGCAAATGGTTGTAGAAAAATGCAGGAATAATGTTAATTATTTAAAACTCTCCAGGTTACAGGAAGTGTCTAAAAGCCATATCTAAATATTTATCAATGCTGTTTTAGACAAACTCTGAATAATAATATTCCTGCGATCAAAATTCCTTCTGCCAGAACACCTGCATTAAAAATAAAACACATTCCTGTTATCGACTTCAGGATGCATTTGATCTTCCTGTTTACATACCACATGATAAATCTGCAGTTATTGAAGAAAATGACCCACTCAGGGACCTAATTCCAAATAAGAGTGCTTTCAGTTTATCTGTACACGTGCCAGACTGAGACACAATAGTTTTGAAGACATGCTGAAACAGCTTTCAAAGAGACATTTTCATGATATATGCACATATATTAATATTGTCCCAATGTTGACTGTGATCAAACAGCTTTTGCAGAGTTTAGACAATCCAAAAGCCTAAATAATTACAAAATACTAAAGTAGGATGAGCATCACATCGCAAGTAATAATTACTCTCACAGTATTCAAATCACTCCCAACCTTCCTCTTTCCCCTTTACATTTCCAAAGGCTCCACAAAAAGCTTTAGGAGATAAAACAGTTTTCAAGAGTAAGAGTAAGAGCAGGTCAAGGAGGACTTGCATTTTCTGGTACATGCGATTACCTCATTTTTGATTATCTGCTCTGATCAAGCAGAGCTAACAGCATGTTTAGCCTTCTGTAAAAGCCTACAAAACCTATTTAACCACGGGGACAGTGAGAGAAGAGAAAGATGTGCGCACAACTGAAAATCCATTTGTATTACAGGAAGGAACCCTATTTTGAACCGTTTGAAATTGTCCCTCTTATACCCGTTGTTGCCTTTTGCTCCTTACAAGAACCCCTGTTGCAAAAATAATTGCCTGCAAAACCGTTCTAAAAATTGCCAAAGAATACCCAAGTATTATACCACAACAGTATTAAACATTTCTCTTTAACCCTATGGATTGTTTTGACTTGTTACCTCACCTTAGCTTAGTTTCTTTCAAAACGACAGCCATTGGAACTGCTTGGACTGTTCAAATTTGGCCTGTTGGCCCTAAAGGCTGGCAGTCCTCTCTAGGACACTCCGCCCACCCACCGCCCACCCCCCTTATTCTCAGGTTTGTCAATTACAAAGCAATCCATTTATTAACTCTTTCACCTTTTTCATTAGGTCATGTTTAAGACCTTGTGCTTACATGCCTCTGCCCTCTAGTGGAAGGCACAGGGTCCCATGCCTTCTGCCACGACGCTTCCTCATTTCCTTACCTGTTGAAGGGATCACATTTTGAAGCGAGAAGACTGAGACAGAAATAAAATGGAGTTTTATACAAGGTTCTCTGAACTACAGTTCCCAGAATGCTCCTTGTTATTACCCTTTGTGAAACCTTATAAACAGAGCAGAATTGCCCACTGGGCAATATTAGTTCAAAAATGAGCCAGTGACATCTTTATGTCTGCAGTTTCTTAGGGCTGTTGGGGGCCACATGCCAAAACTTGGGTGGGGCAAGGGCAAAGTTGGTAGGGTTTCAATTTAATTTCAACTTAATCATAGTTAAATTAAATACAATTGGTGTGATTACTCCCCACATATTTAATAATGTCTCTGTTCTGTCACATTATACAATACAATTTGGCAGCAATGTCTGGAGAGTTTCTCAGGATTACATTCAAGGATTTGTACAGAGAATAAGTTGGGGCCCTGTGCCTGGCATAAAGCCAGGTGGCTCTGAGAATCTGGGGTCTGGTGATGTGGAAAACAAAATAGGATTGGGGATTATAACACAATGAAAATGCCACGCACTGTGGTTGATACCAATATAGGCTTTGCACTTATTTTAAAGTGCAGGAAAATAAACATTTCAGTCAACCCATTATGAATGCACATAGAAAACCCTTCCTTTTCGCTAATATCTCTTCTTTTTTCACAACAGCTCCCTGAGCCCTCATTTTTCTTAACCACTGTTGAAGATCATTTTCTGTATCCACTGACATTTCTGAATATAGGTGATGGAGAGTTACAGATGTGAAGAGGAGGGAAGAGAATTTTTGAGTATGGATGATTGAGGAAGATTAAGCAGACACAACTGTGATAGCATGATTTGAAAGCAACAAGATGTTTGTTCAGTGGATTACAATAACTGAATTACAAACGTACTTCATAGTCCAAAGTGAACCTTTCAAATGGAAATGTCTGTTATGTGTAGAAAATGTGTTCTAAATATGCAACTCATTTGTACACCAAAGAAGACTCATGCTGGCTCAGATCAAGGATACATTGAATTTAACATTTGCTGACCACTTCAGTGTTATGTATGTTGTCCAGCTTTAGTGACTTACACATGCAATGCTAAAGTGTTGGTTACAGAACATATTTTCTGAAAACCCTGCTTCCAACACTCTTTGTGTACATAGCACCTGATGAGGCAATCTTGATCTCCTTCTGCACAGAGTTTTGTTGCTGAATTAGTATGAATATATACTGAAGGATGGGAGAAGGCAAACTGTAATGGTGAAATTATTAATGTTTTTGGAGAGTTTATTAGTCATTTTAAAGAAGGTATTAATGAAAACCTAGTGACATTTATTCTCAGTAAGGTTAATGAAATTATTAGAATATGGTCAGAGCTGTCTAAAAATTGGTAAGAAAGCTGCCCATACCAAGTGATGCTCTCTCAAAATTTTACCATAAAATAGAATTTTAGAAAATATTTACAAAATTAAAATTCAGCACTTACACCAAGAGATTAACAATAGAAAGATGTGTGTGATTGCGTGTATTATCACTGGAAGTATATATAAGACATTTGTAATCTTGGGGAGAAAAACACAGTCATCCATATTTAATAATCCATAATAAATCCAAAACAACATTTGTTCAGACAAGAGTAATCCGTTAAGAAAATTATTATTAATATATGATGACTAGATTTGGTTAAATTTATCCTTCATTGGAGCATAACCCTTTGTGTTATTCTTTTCTGACAATGCATTTTCCCATACTTGAATATCACAGATCCAGTAAAATATGAATTTTAATTTTCCAAAGTTTTGTAATAGCAAGGATAGCAACTAACAAGAAGAACTGTTTCTAGTTTTTATATCCCATTCCTATCCATTTATATGCATTAGGAAATGTAGCCAAGAAACTGACAGCGGGATTCATTGTGAAAGATTTGGGGGTAATTTTCCTACTCTCTTCAAACACTTTCAACAAAGAACTCCAACTTAGAGACTGTAAAATTTATCCACTTATTTATACTCCTCCTAAAACCATCTAGAAAATTACAATTTATATCATGTAATTTTAATGGAGTGTAATGCTATTCTTGATGCTTGCTGAAATTGATTTAAAAGGAACTCTATGCCATCAGTGAGACTCCTTAGGTTCAAAACTCAGCCATCCTTCCAGAATTTTTAGACTTGCAAGAGTACCAATTGTATTTTATATTGGGCTTTCCTATAACTTTGATGAGATTTCTGTGATATTAAATGATATCTAGATATAATGTACGTGTGTGTGTGTGTCTTCAGATATATGCAAGTCTTCAATTAATTGCCTTATCTGATGCAACCTCAACAATACAAAGGACTGGTCTGAATTCTTTTCAAGCCCCATTTGTATTTGTGACCATTCTTTTTGCAACATATATTATTGAATCACCTGTAAAGCAAGCAACAAAGCTAGTTTCAGTGCTCATTGAAGTCCAAGCTGGAGAGTCTTCTTTGTTTGCTGGTGCTGTTTCTTGATGTTATAAAACATGGAGGAATAGCATACTAGTATTATTTTATCAGGCTCCAGCATGTCTCTGCTGTCATATTTTTCCTATCCAAACAACCCACTGGCTTGGAGTCCACTTGGCCATGACCTAGAGGGTTTATTCCATATTTCCAGCCTGCAGTCCCTCAGCCTGACTTCTGATCTTATATGTAATTGAATGTTTTCCCCAATTCCTGACCTTCATTTGCAAGTATGTGCACATTTTCATTGCCTCTCTATAGATGGATCCAACTTTCCTTTCCACTCTTTTGTGGTGCTGGGACCCAGTTTTTGGTTCCTTTGTGCTCGACTGCCTATTCTCCAATATACTGCTACTGGCTAAAATATTTAAGGATCTTAGCTACGTATACCTTGGAGTGACTGATTCCAAAATCTGTATTCAGTCTAGGAATAGGATATGTTCAACTCAACGAAGGCATTTTAAAAAAAAGTTTTCTCACTAACATATAACAAATGTGACTTACTAGTATCCAATCGACAAATTGGCTATTGGCCTTTTCTATTCCTTATGAGTAGTCACCTCCACAAAAGTGACAGAATTGGAAGCTATTCTGGATAAAAGAGATCTTGAAAGAAACTGCAGGCCCAGCTTTGTTCCTAAGCAACAACACTCAGCTCAAGACATCTCTTGGAGGGAAGACATTTTGAGGATTCTTTTGTTTTTCTCTTTCTGCAGATTGCTTGGTAGATGCTTAAAGACACATCAAAGGGGGCATACTGAATGATAAAAATAACAGAATGTTTTCGCATTTAACAATGTTTCTATTTTAAAAATTAGGTCAAATTCAAGTTAGTGTGGGCAGGAAAGTTCTGCATTTTTTCTACCAGTTCTCATTCAACCTGATGGCAGAACTTCCTTTAGAAATCATTTCCAAGAAGAAGAGAAATTCAGGGAAATGCTTATGCTGGAGTGTGTCTTCCTCCACTTATCAGATCAGATCTCTGCAGGGTGTGTCCTCTCCTTCCTTCCCTGTATAATCATCTGTCCAGCACTTTGCAGTCTCCCTAGCTTGACTCACTTTGGTTAATCCCAAGAGACAATCTCCCCCAGGGCTTTTTCCGATTGGGACACATGGGCAGTCAGGGGAGCTTCCGAGGAATGGAAAGGCAACAGAAGATGATTGCGCTACACCACCTGCCATTTCCAAAAATAAAGTTCAAAGCCACCAAGAGAAAATTGAAATAAATTCTCAAGTCCCTTGAGACCTAAAGAAGTTGAGAGCTCTGGGATTACTAAAAAGAAAAAGGCTATTTCTTAGTCTCCGGGGGCCACCGATTTTTAAAATTATGACCTGTTGTTGAGGTGTTTTAAGGCAAGGGCACACTGTTTTTAGAGCTGGACTTTGTCTTGGCTACAGTCAAAATAGCCATCACTTCTAATTCTGAAGGGGAATATTGAATTACACTCATAGAAATGTTTAAAGCAAATTCAAGCTGTGATCTGCTCCTAAATGTCTTGCACTTGATTCCAGCTCTGGGCTTTAAGTGGTATTGAGTTATACAGGTCAATGGCCCCAGCACGCTCAGAAATGGACTTTTTCTTTTTAATAATTCCAACCCTCTCAACTTCCTTAGGCTGCGTTTATCCCTCAAGGTCTCAAAGGCTTGTGATCTAAGTTACTATCACAGGAATTTAGCCTTACATAACAACATAAGCAGTACCCTGCTGGATCAGACCTCTGGCCCATCTAATCCATCAGTCTGTTATCATGGTGGTCAGCCACGTGCACAAGGAAGCCCACTAGTCTCCCAGCAGATGGCCTTCAGAGGTAGTCACATTGCCATCGAGGCTAATAGCCACTGACCCCCATATCTCCCATGAATTGGTCCAACTCTTTTTTTGAAGCCAGCCAAGCTGATAGCCAGCACCACATCTTGTGGGCCTTCTTTTCAGGATTTGCAGGGAAAACTAACAATCGTAGGACAGGGAGGCAGAACTGAGGGAAGAGAATATTTTCTCTTTGGCTTGGTAAGGTCTTTCACTTATTTGTCCTGCATATACTGGGATTAGCAGGCTCCACCTTTGAAGCACAGGTACAGGCAGGTTCTCCTCATGACCAGCCTTCCTCTGCTGGTCCCACTAGCTCCACCTGTATTGCCAACAAGCTCCAACTTGAGTCTTTGTGTCTTGAGATTCCTGGAAATCGTCAACCTCACATCCCTTCCATTTTCAGAGCATTTTCAGTTCCCACAATAAATATCAGATATTCAAGCAGAGGCAG